CTCTACAAGAACTGAACAAAAACCTCCCCCCTCAGCTTCCCAAGGTTAAAAAAAAAGTTAAAAAAAAAAACTAAATTTAGCCCAGAACTGGTTATTTATGAAAAACCCAAGAATGCTATGATTACGCCATCTTACCAAACTGTGAAATAATAAAAGCAATGCGAATATGAAGGTGACCTACGAGACTGAAAGATCAGCTGGTCCAAACAATCTAGATTTTTTTTTTTTTGAAAGATTTACTTGTGGAATAACTGGCAGGAGGGCAGGCAGGGGTGAGCGGGTGCAGAGAGAGAGAGGAGCTCCAACTCTGGTTTGCTCTCCCAAACGGCCATAACAGACAGGACTGTGCCAGGCTCAGGTCAGCAGCTCCATCCTGGCCTCCCACAAGGGTTGCAGGGCCCGAGCACAGAGCCATCTTCCGCTGCCTTCCCAGGCACAGACAGGAAAGTGGACAGGAACCAGAACGCAGGACTCAACTCAGCACCCTGAATATGGAATGCCAACATCACAAGCAGTGGTTTAACCCAATGACCACAACACAAACCCTAAAAATCTAGTTTTTAATAATTTTTTTCTCAGGTTCTAAACCTTAATCTTCCATTTAGTGAACACAGCCCTCAGATTCAGAGCCTAATTATAGGTTGAAAAGTGTGGCTTCAGGAATAAGATGAATATTCCGCTTTTAACTCCAGAAGAGATAAAGGAAATGGGTTGGGGCAATGTCAGACCTAGCGGTTAGGAGTACCTGGCTTTGACACCGCATCCTAGCTTCCTGCTAACACAGACAGAACCTGGAGGACAGGGCCACAGCCCAAGTGCTTGGGCTCCTGCCACTCAGGTGGGAGACCAGGACTGAGTTCCTGGCTCCCAACCTCAGCTGAGTCTGCCCACTGCAGGCATCTGGGGAATGAACACACAGACAGGACAGATTTTTCTTTTTCCTTGTCAAACACAACTTTAAAGAAAAAATAAAGCAGGGAGGAGGGTCAGGGTATTAGCTCAACTGGCTAACCCTCTACCACCAAGCACAAGCATCCCACTTAGGTGCCAGTTCCTGTCCCAGTTGCTCCACTTCCCATCCAGCTCCCTGCTTACTTACGGCCTGGGAAAGCAGTGGAGGACGGCTCAGAGCATTGGGACCTTGCACCTGCATGGGAGACCGGGAAGAAATGCCCGGCTCCTAGTTTTGGATCAGTTCAGCTTTGGCTGTTGCAGCCATTTGGGAGTGAAGTGGTCAATGGAAGATCCTTGTCTCTCCTCTCTGTGGATCTGCCTTTCAAATAAAAGTAATTAATTTCTTAAAAGAGAAAAAGAAGAAAAAACAGACATAGGTCAACTTGTGAGAGTTCCTCATCTTCTCGGCGGGGAAGCTGTATCTGTGCGTTGCGTCTCCGTGGGCGCCACCTTCCCAGATACGCTCGGGAACATCCACGGGCGGAGATACCCACTCCTCACGCTGCCGCTGCGCTGACCAGCACTCTTCTCCCACGCCTCCGACCTCGTGCACACTAGCAAGCCACGGGATGAAGGTGTCCTAACAGCTGAAGAACTAAGCTGTTCGGTTTCTTTATGTGTCAAAAGTATGTGTGCATGCACACAAACACACAAACACAAGCCCTCCAGAATTAAAAAAAATACAATAACCCAGAGAAGCCTGATAAACCACAGAGTAAAGGTGCTCTAAGGAGCACACTCACTGTAGCTCCAACATTCCCCCACATGGGGTGCGCGTTACCAACATATCTAGTCATAAGAAACACAGACAAGCCAAACATAGAAAGTTTTTTGTTTGTTTGTTTTTTAAATTCAAAGCTTTCTCAAACTGGAGCTGAGGTAGTATAGCAGGCTAAACTGCTACTTGTGATAACTGAGGTAACAGCGGAGTCTCAGCCACTTGACTTGTGATCAAGCTTCCTGCCAGCTCCCTGGGACAGCAGCAAAGGACAGGTCAAGTGCAGGCCTCCCAGCACCCATACGGGAGACCCAGATGGAGTTCCTGGCTCCTGTTCCCAGCAGTTAAGGCTTTTAAGGAGTAAACTAGCAGATAACAGCTACCTCTCCCTTACTTTCACATAAATAAAAAGGAACATTTTTTTAAACATTTACTTAAAAAATTTTTTTAAGGTTTTATTTATTTTTATTGGAAAGTCAGATATACAGAGAATGAGAGACAGAGAATTGATTCACTGCCCAAGCAGCCACAACAGCCGGAGCTGCGCTGATCCAAAGCCAGGAGCCCAGAGCCTCCCCCTGATATCCCACGCAAAGGCAAGGTCCCAGGGCTCTGGGCCTTCCTCCACTGCTTTCCCAGGCCAAAAGCAAAGAGCTGGATGGGAAGCAGAGCCACTGGGACACGAACTGGAGTCCATATGGGATCCTGGCACATGAAAGACAAGGACAACAGTCAGTAGGCTACTGCACTGGGCTCAGAACTTTTTTTTTTTAGAGCTCTTGAAACTACTGGTAATATTAACAGTTATGTAAACACACAATCAAAAAATTTATGTGAAACAGATTTTTACATGGTATTTCAATTTAAGTTACCAAAAATTAAACTGTTTCCTGATCATTGCCTAGTCTTCCAAAACACTAGTCTTTGATTTGACCAAGTTACAAATCTGTTTCCAGTTGTGAGGGAAAACACACTGCCTCTGTTTAACGCAAAAGACAAAAAAGATCATCCCTGCAAATCATAATGTTTGGGTTCATGATGAAAACAGGAAACAGACAGGCTGCCCAGGTCTAATTACAGTTATAGTCTAATGTGCCATCAGGTTCAGCCAAGCATTAAAACTTGGGGAAGACAGGAGGCACAATTCACTTGCCTGTACCTTGTTACAGAATGCAACTTTTAATAACACTCCCAGCAACAAGTTACATAACCAACAGTAAACAAGGATCTGATTTAAACCTCATTAGTAATAACATTTTGCCACTGTTTCTCACTTAAATTAATAGCTGACTTTGCCAGCAGGGAAAGAAACACAGGATTTATCAATCCAACCATTTTTATGGTGTCGATCACAAAGACCCAAACAGGGTACTACGAGAGCAGAAAAGAACCCCAGAAAGCACTTTGTGAGGTTTTCATCCAGTGCGCTACTCTCTTCCACCTTGCCCCAGACTTCATCCTATAGGTGCATTTGAAACTAACCTACTCGGTGCTGCCTATTGCAGGTACTGTTCAAGAAGGAATGGATGCAAAAGAAAGCTATGGGGGAAGCTGATGGAGTAGAGTAGTTATATAAAAGAAACTGACCTGGCTGGCAACAATGTTACAGGGAGAACATGCAATTACACACAAAAACTAAGTTTTGACAACCTAAACAATGTTACAACATTTATGAAAACTAAATTTTGTTAAGTTGCCTCTTTCAAGTTGATTGATACTTTTTAATTTGGTGCACCTTAGAGGAAGAAAAAACAGTTACAGAAAAGGTAACTTCTTACTTTGGGATCTGGGACACATTTCCTAATGACATCGAGATCAAAGTATTCAACTGTCATCTGGACTATTATTTCCCCAACTAACACCACCACCTTCACATGTTTAGAAACAGTTTAACGGGGCTATCTTCCAACTTAAAAACTAAAAAAAGTTCATTCACTGTGGGCACTTCACGTCCCCGAAGAAAATTCAAAGGTTCCGATTTTTTAAAAGAATCTTCATCAAGGAGCCAAAGACCCCTTACCTTGGCTAGGCAGAGGAGGGCTCACCATCGCCTCCAGCAGCCCTGACCCAGGGGCTGGATAAGGACACCTCGGGCAGTGCCAGGTAACAAGGCATAATGTGACAATCCCAACCAGACTTCAAAACTTTTTCCACAGAAAAGATAAGGTCAACAAGATACATTTAGCACCACACCCAGTCAAAGGCACACGCAGCGGCTGTGCTCCCCCCTCCCCCCACTGCGCCCCACCCCGGACCTCCAGCTGGTCAGGAAACACTGTCTCTCACAATGAGATAACCCGGCTAGGCTCAGGGTGTTCGGGCATTCCGCACCTCCAGGCCCGAAGAAAAACGACCACTCTCCAGTGCCACCCAAGCCAGAACTGGAACTCTGTTAGGAAACGGGCATACGTCCAAAACACCCCGACTATCCTCGCCCCAGTTCCTATTCCACTTTTTTCTGCCCCCCCGCCGCCCTCTCGCACGGAGACTCTGTTTTGACTACTGAGCATGCTCCGACTTAAGACAGGCGCCACTTGGAGTTTTCAAAGCTTAAGCTCCAAACTCCACGTAATAACAGCGGCTGGAAGGGGGGAGGGGGACGGGGGGCCTGGAGCCCAGCTCCGAGTAGGGATGCCCAAGTTGGGGGTGCGGAGTTGGGGCGGGGGAGGCCAAGGTAAAATGAATCCCCCACCCCCGCTGCGGCGCTCCCCTTCCAGCCTTGCAGGGGCTTCCGGGAAGCCCAAAGGATCTCCGCAGTGTGGGTGGGGGAGGAAAAAAAAAAACTTACAGGGCAAGTGGCGGAAACCGGGGCTAACGACCAGCTGCGCGCAGTAGCAGGTCCCAAGTGCCCGGAGTGTAATTCCCACCGATAAGCACGGATCCTTATCTCGCCAACACAAAGCGACGGCCGCTCGGACTCGTCCAGCCGGGGGGACGGCTGTCGGGCGGCAGCCCTTTCGGGCCGGGAGCGAGGCGAGTGCTTCGAGAACACGGCGCCCCAGCAGCTGACGGCCCTGCGCCCCGCCACAAACCGGGCTCCCCCTCCACACACACACACACGCACGCGCGCGACGGGGCCCCTCCGTCTCCATCGGCGGGCGCGGCGGGCCGGAACGTGTGCCAGCGCCAGCCCCTCGTCTCCCAGCCGCCCGGGCCCGCGGGCGAGGCCTCCGTCGCGACCGCCAGGACCGCAACAGGCCCGGCTTCGGCCTACCCTCCCGTCCCGCAGGCCCCGGGCCGTTTCCGCTCCGCACGCCCCCGCCGGCCCACCCCGCGACCGCGCTCGCCCCCGCGCCCCGGGGCCCGCCACGCTCACTCACGCACTCACCCGCAGAGCTGGGCGCGCTTCCACTCGCTGCAACTTTATTAGCAGCCCGGTCCCGGGACACGCGTACGGCGTCCGCTCGCCCAGGACCCGGATGAGGGAGGGAGGGAGCGAGGGAAGGAGCCTGGGAGGACACCCCGCTTGGATCGGCGCATGCGCGCTGAGGCCCGAGTGACCGCGGCTGGACCGAGGGCGGGCCCGCAGCGCCGGCGGCGGCCGGAGGAAGCCTCGCGCTGGGCCGCGCGCCAGCCAAGCCCGGTTTCCGAGCAGCCCAGGCTTCTCGGGCCTGGAAGCGGGAGTCTGCCACAGTTGGCAGCCGGGGCTTCACATTGTCAAGAAAGGACGGCTTGGATAGAAACATAAAATGCGAAAACATCTTTCGAGGCGCCATTGGCCCCTTTTGAGATATCCGTTCATGCATAAATCTGAACGAAGAGAATTGTCTCTGCTAAGGTACACGTTTCTGACCCCTTACATCTGAAGCCCTGCCCAATGGAGACGCAGATATGGGCGGCAGCGGAAGATGGCCCCAGGATGCGGGCACCTGTGGAACCAGGGTCAAGGTCTTTAATAAAGAATAACACACAAATCAAAATTAGAGTCATTTTGGAAATCTGTCTCTCACATCCTAATGCAATAAGGAGTCCAGGGGAATTCTACCTTCAAAACCGAGTTCCGTCTGACCCTTTCTTTTCACCTCAGCTGCCACCTACGCGGCAGGGTGCAAGGTTCATCTCATTCGACACACAAAAGGCCGCCTGTGCTCCAGGCTGCAGCCATCTGAACACGTGCTGAGGAAGTCTAGCATTAGGGTATAGCTGTCAGAGGTATATAGCATTAGGGTATAGCTGTGACAGAGGTCTGACAAGGAAGGACAGGGTGGGGAGCCAGGGAGGGCTTGCTCCCACCTGAGGGCACAGCTGTCCCCCCACCAGCTGCCACCATGGGCAAATAATGGAAGAAGGGCCCTGTGTTAGCTAATCATTTGATTTTTTTTTTTTGTCAATTAAAGCAGAAAGTTTGTATTTTTATGGAAAAAGTTCAGTATTTTTAGAAAGATTTTAGGGGCCAGTGTTATAGGTAGCGGTTAACCCTCTGCCTGCAGTGGAGTATGGTCAGAATAAGTCATAACTAGTAATAAGGAAAATGACCCTAATGTTTATACCTTAAGTACTAAGAGTATTTGAAAATATTAATATGCAGGCTGGCACAATGGCTCAGTTGGCTAATCCTCCCATTTGGCGCTGGGATCCCATTTTGGGTGTCAGTTCGTGTCCCAGCTGCTCCACTTCCATGATATGTGGCCTGGGAAAGCAGTAGAGGATGGCCCAAGTCCTTGGATCCCTGCATCTGCATGGGAAACCCAGGAAAAGCGCCTGGCTCCTGGCTTCAGATGGGTTTAGCTCCAGCTGTTGTGGCCATCTGGGAAATGAACTAGCAGATGGAAGACCCCTCTCTATATCTCTTTACCTTTCAAACAGAAATAAATCTTAAAAGGTTCTCAAAATATTTTATTTATCTGAGTGACAGAAAGAGGGGTAGACTCACTCTCCATGTCTCTCCCGCTCTCCATGTCTCTCCCGCTCTCCATGTCTCTCCCGCTCTCCATGTCTCTCCTGCTCTCCATGTCTCTCCCACTCTCTATGTCTCTCTCTCCCCTTTTCTTCCTCTCTGCTCCTCCCCGCCCATCCCCCTTAAGTCCAGAGGCCAGCTCTATACAAGCAAACAGAACACATTTGTGTTTTTGATTTAGTACGCAGCCATCAGTCTGCCATCTCAGGTCTACATTTTGAGCTTCTTTACTGCACTATAAACCCCCGAAAGTCGTCTGTGTGCTTTAACTCTTTGTCACGCTCACTGTTATTTGTTGTTAATTCAGAAGCTCTGAGTCCTTGGGAGGCACTTATTTCTGGAGCCTGCATGAGTTTACAACTCCCAGAAGTGCCTATAACCCTGCCTTGGAGGGTGACTTTAAAAAAAAAAAAAAAACAATTCAGAGCTGATGCTTGCAGGACGTTTTGTTAAACCTTACAGCACACAGTAATTTGGTTTCAACATTTTGTCCCCTAAAACCACTCCTGACTTCATACTACCAGTAAAAATCCTTCCCACGATAATTTGCTATCTTGCAGTCATTGCACATAGGTAAGAACATAGTATGACTGTAGGGTTCCTTTTCAGAATTCTCATGCCAGCAGTTTTGCTGACTGTACTGTGTGTCTCCATGCTGATTGGATCCACCAACAACTCCAGCCTCTGCCAGATGCTGTGTGGCTTCAGCATAGGTCAACCTATGGCGGAGATTACACAGAAGGGACGAAGGGAGATTTTAGCAGTACAGCAGAAACCTGCAAAGGACTTCAAACGGCTGTAAATGAGAAGGATCACTAATATATAGTAAAAACAAAACAAAACGGGCCTGGCACGATGGCGCAGTGGTTAAGGTCCTTGCCTTGCACGCCCGGGATCCCATATGGGCGCTCGTTCTAATCCTGGCAGCTCCACTTCCCTTCCAACTCCCTGCTTGTGGCCTGGGGAAGCAGTCGAGGACGGCTCAAAGCTTTGGGACCCTGCATCCACATGGGAGACCCGGAAGAAGTTCCTGGTTCCCAGCTTCGGATCAGCGCAGTACCTTACCAGCCGTTGCAGCTGCCTGGGGAGTGAATCATCGAAGGGAAGATCTTCCTCTGTGTCTCTCCTCTCTGTATATCTGCCTTTCCAATAAAAGTAAAAATAAATCTTTAAAACAAAACAAAACGGTAAAGCAGCAAGAAAATGGGCTATCAGAGCCTAGGAACAGAGCAAAGGGATCTCCGTTTTGAGCTATCTAATAAGATCTATGAACACAACGCTGACCAGGACAATCTGAACAGACCTAGCTAGACAGACTGCTTCTCAGTTGTACCATTTGTCTGATTAATATCAGATCAAAGCAGCTGCAACACTCAGTTTTACTTCACTTGTAGTGAAGTCTGTTTCTAAATCAAGAAGGGCAGTGGTTTTCATCCATGGATAATTGTATACTTAGGAAACCCTTCAAAATTTTACCTATTTTCATTTTGTTTGAAAAAGGGAGCTCTATCTACTGGCTTACTCTCCAAATGCCTACAAGACAGACAAGGCTGGGCCAAGTCAGAGTCAGGAACCAGAACTCAATCCAGCTCTCCTGCTTAGTTGGCACTTGAGCCATCAGTGGTTGCCTCCCAGGGTGTGCGTTAACAGGGAGCTGCACTGGAAGCAGAGCAGCCAGGACTACAGCCAGGCCCATCAAGAGGTACCTTATCTGCTGCGCCACCTCACCACCCCCAGGAAACCCGTGACAGTGCTCGAGACATTCTGTGTTGTCACAAGCAGGAGCTAGGTCTCCTGGAGTCCAGGGGAAGAGGTCAGGGCTGGTGCTCAACACCCTAAGATGCACAAACCAGCCTCTTGTAAGAAGTATCTGGCTCAACACATCAACAGCGCTGAGGTTAAGAAATCTGACTTAGGGCCCGGCGCAGTGGCGCAAGTAGTTAAAGGTCCTCGCCTTGCACGCCCAGGATCCCATATGGGCGCCGGTTCTAATCCCGGCAGCCCCGCTTCCCTTCCAGCTCCCTGCCTGTGGCCTGGGAAAGCAGTCCAGGACAGCCCAAAGCTTTGGGACCCTGCACCCGCGTGGGAGACCCGGAAGAGGCTCCTGGCTTCGGATCGGCATAGTATCGGCCCGTTGCGCTCACTTGGGGAGTGATTCATCGGACGGAAGATCTTCCTCTCTGTCTCTCCTCTCTGTATATCCGCCTTTCCAATGAAAAAATAATAAAAATAAATCTTTAAAAAAAAAAAAGAAATCTGACTTAAACCCTAGAGAGGATTTTCCTTAGTTAACATGGAAAAGAAATCAGCCTTTCCCTAATGTCTTCAGTAGTTGTTGAAAATATTCATTTAGCACGGGGAAGTAGCCCAAATGTTTTGCCTTGGACCTACTCCGATTTTGAATTTTCCAGATCTAACATGGCGTGGACTTTCAGGAAAAGCAGAACAATAGATAAAATATGAAGAATTGGGACAATCAACAAAGTCCATGGTTTCAAATCTTTTTAAATGTACAGGAGCTGGGGCTGATTGGCCGAGGTTTGCATATGCCAATTCTGAACTTGCTATGGCTGAGAAGGCTCTCCCTAATGAGCTACTTCTCACCCTGCAGGACAGGAAGAAAACAACAATGTTCAGGAGTCACTCCACAGAGAAGCATCAGCAAGTGATCGCCCACGGAGAGCTATGAAGGGTCCTGTGAGCCACTTCAGAGACTTCCTGCTTCAGAAAGGAAACAGAGGAAGAACCATCTACCATAGCACTCCTCCCAGGCAACATCCTCAGAGACTCAAGCTCTCATTCAAGGTTCTGCATTTGCTCTTCAGTTGGCAATGAACCCCATGGTCCCTGGTCATTAATGCTGACAACCACGCAGGAGCCAGGACCCAAGAGTATCCAGACGAGGAAAGAGTACTTCCAAGCATAGGATGTACAAAGACACACCTCACAATCCGGAGAGAACAAAATCGTCCTGTTCTAATTGATTGGAAGCACCTTCCCACTAGTTTTAACAGAGAAGAGCCATACGCAACAGCAACGTGATCCAGCATTTGCAAGGATGGTTTTCCTAGTAAAATGTTGGTGTTCCAGCGGGAAATACCGCCTTGAGAATGCACAGACCGTTTACATGTCAGAAGTTGATGTGAATGTGGTGAAAATGTTAAAAAAGAAGCAGCTGCCTGAACTCAAAGCCCAGGAATCTGGCAGCCACAGACTCCTAGAAGCTTCAGGGATGAAGATCAGAGACTCTCTAAGCTGCCGGAATGAACACGCAAGTTTTTTTGTGTGTATACCTACGCACACATTTTCGGCAGACAAAGCCTACAGCTTTCATCAGCTCTCAGAAGGCTTCCGGACCTCTGTATGCTTACACATGCTTCGGAAGGTGGCTTACTTCACACATGGTGGAACTGTAACATGTCCATTTTAGGTTATCTTTTCTTCTCTCTTTCTTTTTTTTTTAAAGAGAAACCTAATTAGGAGACTCTCTCCAGGGAAGGCAGCTTGAGTAAAACATAGGAACCAGGTTTGCCTGTCTCCAGCCATCTGCTACATTAAACAAGGCCTCCCATGGCTGGATTCCAAAACACAAAATTAAAAGGGTTGCTTGCACCCAGAATCATAAAACAAAGAGGCTTTCTAAAGTAGGGCTTGGAGCAAACACTCC